GCGTGGATGGAGAGTATGGACGCGTGGATGGAGAGTATGGACGCGTGGATGGAGAGTATGGACGCGTGGATGGAGAGTATGGATGCGTGGATGGAGAGTATGGACGCGTGGATCGATAGTATGGACATGTGGATCGATAGTATGGACGTGTGGATCGTTACAATGGACGCGTAAATCGATAGTATGGACGCATGGTTCAAAAGTATGGAAGCGTGGATGGAGAGTATGGACGCGTGGATCGACAATATGGACGCGTGGATGGATAGTATGGATGCGTGGATCGATAGTATGAACGCGTGGATCGATAGTATGGACGCGTAAATCGATAGTATGGACGCGTAAATCGATATATGGGCACGTGGATAGATAGTATGGACGCATGGATAGATAGTATGAACCTGCGGTTACTAGTGTAAAGTTTAGATGGGAGATTTATTGAATTGATTTCTGATTTAACTTTCCTTCTTTAGCATCACATCTTTCACCCACCCAATCATCTCCAGACTATGTTGGTAAAAACAGCCACCTGACCAAAGAGAGATACAAGTTGAACAGTTTTTTGTTTAGCATTATCATCCTCAAGCAGAACAAAGAAACCGGTTAAAAACATAGGAGTCACCACAGTTATGAAGAGTTGCCTGTGTCTCCAAGCTGTTTCCTCAGTACACAATATTATCCACTCTCCCTACATAAATTATTTTACTAAGTTTTATTTGACTGACTTTATCATTTTTACAGGAACAGAACTATACATGACGCTGCCTCTGAATCTGCACCAAAACATGTCAGCAAGAGAAATGCTGCTTCTCTCCCTCAATTTCTAGGATTTATTTTTTGGGAAATAAAGTAAACTGACTCACAAAGTAAAATGTTTGATGGATAAAGTCTTTAGTTTGTGTTTTATTCTTTGTTTTATCTTGTTTGTTTTTATGCTAATTAGCCTGATGTCATTCTGAAGCTCAGGTCAGCAGGAGGGTGTTAGGGGTCGTGTTAAACTTGTGGTTGAAGTCAGACCTAAAAGTTTTCCTTCAGTTAAAGCAGCAGCAGTGAAAATATCTCAACAAGCAGAAAAATGTCAAATGTTTTCAGAAGAAATAATTGTTCTTTTCAAATTTTGATTTGTATATGGCAAAGCGCAAACAACTTCCTTTATTCTTTGCTTTTAATGGCTGCAATACTGCAAAAAGAAGGCAGCTGTGTTAAAAAGGGTAAAAAAGTACTCAAGATTAGCCAAATGAGGCTCTAGGAAAGCTGCCCATTGGCAGACTTGTTGATGTGGGGGGGGGGGGGGCTAAATTTGGCAATGACCTCCCCAAACTTGCAGTTGTTAGTGATATGTGTGCTTTGTTGATTGAATTTTTTAATTTGGGTTTTCTTTAGACAACCAGTGAAAGGGCATTGTTGCCGCTGCCATTCAGTCCTTAGCCTCGGCCTTTTTTTCTCTCATTCCTTCAAGGGAGAAGGTGCCATGAATAATTTTTTTTCATGCATGTGGCTGGGGGCAAACACGATGTAAAATGGCAGATTAATTGAATCTTGCATGAGCCTTTGGTCCTCCCAGCAGGACCAGTGCTTTAGAGGAATCTAAAGCTGCTTTAATTGATGGAAGACACAAAAAGTATCCTTCAGATTCCTTTGCTTTTCCAGCGCTGATGGGAATTTTATTCAGCAGCATAATGCATCCTATTAGCTGTTTAACTCAGCACTGTTACATGGATGGTGTTTTTTATTCATTGCCAGGGTGGGCAGGTGCACGTGCACATGTGCACGTTTCTGCGTGGTTGGGCAACTTCATGCAGAGTTAGAAAGGTTTTTATTTCTGTCTTTTCCAGCACAGAGAACAAAGAAGCATTTCAAAGCTGACTAACACTTCCATAAAAATAACAGACGATTGTTTTTATCCCCTCCTTGTCTCCAACATAAACATGTCTTCAATCCTAATGTGTCCAACTGTCCCCCACCATCTCCACAGCAGCAGTACCACTCAAGAATCGATGTTCTGATTGATGAGACCTTCAAAGAAATGATCTCCTCCCTCATTTCAAAGGTACCAAAGGTTTTTGTCCTAAAACTAAACGTGTGTGTGTGTGTGTGTGTGTGTGTGTGTGTGTGTGTGTGTGTGTGTGTG